TCCATAGAATTCATTTCATCTTTCACATCATTTATTCATTTATATGACTCAGGACTTGTCAATGTTTGATTAAAAGTAACATGGTCAACAATATGCCTAACATTAAAATCAATCTCCAATAAATATGTAATATAATCATTGGGCAATGCAGACCTTCTTTCCCTTTGTGATCTTCTAACTTGTAGCTTAGCAACTGACTCAATCGTTGTTGGTGGAGGAATTTAAAGTTCCCCTTGGTGCCCAGGTTCTTCATTAACAATTTCAGTTGGTTGAGGTATAACTCTCTCCTGTATGATAGGAATTGGAACAATAACTTGATTCGGTTCAACAAAAAATTCCTTCAACGTAGAACTCCCACTATCACCAAAGTCATTTTCCAGAAATTTAGCAGTGATTGACTCAGCAATTCTGGTGCCATGGTTGGGACAATAGAACTTATACCATTTTGATCCGTCTGGGTAGCCAATAAAGTAACATGAGTGAATTTTGGGTCTAATTTCTTCTCAAATGGATTATAAATTCTCAACTCAGATGGACATCCCCAAACTCTGAAATGAGCCAAACTTGGCTTACGTCTTGTCCACTACTCGAAAGGTTTTTTTACAACGGCTTTACTCGGAACTGTTCAAAATATACATAGCAGTCCTCAAAGCTTCACCCCATAGACGTTCTGGCAAATTTGTCCTACTCATCATGCTCCTGACCATGTCTTTGAGAGTCTGATTACGTCTTTCAAAAACGTCATTCTGCTCAGGTGTCCCTAGCATGGTATATTGAGGTATTATGCCACACCCTTGTAAAAACTTTACAAAATCACCTATGTTTTAACTAGACTCGTCATACTTCCCATAGTACTCACCACCTCGATCAGATCTTACAACTTTAATACTTTTCCCACTTTGTTTATCTACTTCCATTTTGAAAATCTTGAATTTCTTAAGTGCATGAGATTTATCATTATCAAGTAAACATATCCATATCGCGAGAAATCATCAATAAAAGTTATAAAATATTTGTTCCTACATATGGTGGAAGGCAAAGCTCCACTAATATAAGTACGTATTAAGTCCAAAATGCTATCACTCCTAGTGGAACCTTTCCTAGTGAATTTAGTCAACTTTCCTCTTATACAATCCAACAAGTGTCAAAATTAGAGAAGTCAAGAGATGGAAGTATCTCAACTTTAACCAATCTCTCCATCCTATCCTTTGAAATGTAACCGCTTATGTCACAACATGGAGGATGATTCACAAATTAGATGCCTTTTCTTTGACACATTAACACAAAAGATTTCACCAAAAGAAGCCAAGATAATTTATATAAACCATCACATAAGAGACCATTTCCAATCAAACAAGAATCATAAAACAATTCAACCATTCTATTATCAAAATTAAAGGAAAAACCAGAAACATCAAGTTTCGATATAGAAATTAAATTCCGCCCAATTGTCGATACAAAAACTGTATTCTCTAAAACAAGAGAGAAACTAGACTCCAAAGACAACTTCACTACTCCTATGAACTCAACATTCACTTGAACACCATTCCCAACACACACGTTTACTTCATTCTCACTTGATCTTTGTTTACTTATGAACCCCTGCAATGAATTCGCAATATGAATACTAGCTCCCGAGTCTAACCACTAAGAATTCAAAGGAACATCTACAAAAGAAGACTCATAACAAACTAAGGTCAAGGGATACCTGCGGAACTCTTCTTCTTCTCCAACCAAGTCTTAAACTTAAAACAATCTTTCTGTCAGTGACCATTCTT